GAGGGGGGGGGAGGCAGGTGAGGAGGGGGGAGGGCCAGGTGAGGAGCCCAAGGCCAGGTGAGGGGGGTGGAGGGCCAGGTAACACTGTCACCCAGGTAGCGTTGCCCTCTCGGGGGGTAGCGGTCCCCCGAGCCAAGACCCAGCTCAAACCCTGAGGTGGCCGGTCCCCATGAGCGGCCACCGCCGCCCTCCCAGCCCCTGCCGGACCCAGGGCATCAGGAAGGTACGCGGGTGAGTGGTGACGGTGGGCCTGGCCCCGACTTTCTGGGCCGAGTCCTGCCTGTGCTCGCAGCGAGCGCTGCGATCCTGGGAAGGGGGCTGCCTTCCTGTGCCTCGGGGCCTTCATCTGGAAGCCGGTGGTGGCGCGCTGAAGGGGGGCGGGGCGGGGTGGGGGAGTCTCAGCCGAGCCCTGGGAGGCCTGGCCGGGCAGGGCTGAAGAGGGTCCCTGAGGCCCCAGCCCCTGACAGCACCCTCGGGGCCGGCCTGCCTTGGCCAGTCACCTCCTCCCAGCAGGGTCCCTCCATCCTGGGGCTGCCAGAGGCCGCCCCAGCTTCCGGAGCCTGTGGTGTGGACTCCCACCTCTGCCCACGCGAGCTCGGCCCCTGACTCAAGGTGCCGCCAGCAAGAAGCGGGTCATTCCAGGGGGATATTTGCAAGTCCGAAGAGCTGTGTTCTTCCCGTCCTGATAAAACCCCCCAGGGCTCCCTGTCCCTGTGCACAGTCCAGGCCGGCGGTCTGGCGGACAAGGCCTGAGAGCTGAGGCCGCCGAAGTCTCCATCCCTCCCCTTCACCAGCCTGGCCTCTAGCCCCGCACCCCCTGGCCTGAGCGCACAGCTGTCTCCAGCTTGGGACACCCCAGTCAGAGCTGGCTTTTCCGTGGGGTGGCCTGGCGTCATTGTCGTTGCGGAGTGTGGTCACTACGGTGGGGCTCTGAGGAGAGCCCCGCTCCAGGTACTGCGCCGCGCGGGCTTTAGCTGCTGGAAAGGCCGAACCTCCTGTGCTTTGTGCTGGCCTCTTCTGGGTCTCAGCAGCTGGTTCTCAGCCCTAGGGAACGGCTGGCACTTGGTTCCCTGGCGGAGAAGGTCCTTTAGTTTCCTGCTCTGCCGGGTGTTAGGACAGCGCCGTGGGCTTTCCAGTGCCCCTGAACGACGGCCATCTGCCTGTCCCACAGGTCAGCGTGACCCATTCTGCAGTTCTCTGGGGCTCCCCGCGGGGGCCCCCGTGTTGGGGCAGGGTGTCACTTGCTTTGCCGGGCTACGAGGCCGGCATCCCTCCCTGGACCAGAAATCGGACCACGGCTTCAAGCAGTACTTTCCGTGATGTTAAACCTTACGTGAAAATCTGTAGACGTTCAAAGATTCAATTACATTTAATAACGCAAAGAGGTGCAGCCAGTGACCTGACCTGGGACGACTCTGGGAGATCCAGGTGCCTGGCTGGGTGTGGGGTGTATTCTCAGCCCTCTGGCCGGCCGGGCCTGGCCTCTCATGGCATGTCACAGTGCTGCCACCCGCACTGACGTGCTTCTGTCTGATGTAGTTTGTGTTTATGTGCGGCTTTACCGGAGGCCACGCTTGCCCTGGTGGCGTCGGGTGGCGCTCGGCCTGAGAGGACCCCGTGTGCCAGCTCCCTTTGCAGGGTCCATGTCTTCTGTCTTCCAGCCTCCCGCCACCCCCAGCCCACTCCGGGGGTTTCATCCTCGTCCTTTCACCAAAGCCCCTTGGGTGCCTGGCCCCCGATAGGTTCTGAGGCTGCAGACAGATCTGTTTCTCACGGGTCTGCTTGGGGACCAACTGGGGATTACAGGAAAGGAACATCCAGGCCTGGGCTGAGGGTCCTGGGGAGCATGGGGTTTAGGGGGGGGACTTAGGGTTTAGGAACCTTCTGGAACCTTCTGGAACCTTCTGGAAGCTGAGACCTGAGGGAGGAGAGGAACAGGGAGAAACAGGTTCCAGGCAAGGGACCTCCCCTTTCCTTCTTACCCTGGTGCCCATCGGGGGTCGCTGTGGGCCGTCCAGGGTGGGCAACTGCGTGGAGGGCCACCTTCACACCTGGACGCGCGCGCGCGCGCGCACACACACACACACACACACACACACACTCTCGATCTGCAGGATTAAAACATGGTAGTTCATACAAACCTCTGTTTTGCTTTTTAAGAAAATTCCTGGGAAATCGCCTTGGTTTAAGCTTACTCAAGGCGAAGGCCATGTCCAATTATCGGTCGGAAAGCAACATGGAGAAACTGCCTTTGACCTCCACTGGCCTCTGGTCGGGCCCTGCCCGGGGCCCACCCTTGGGTTTGCTCCCCACGGCTCCTCCGCCCTCCCGGCTGCGTTGAGGGGGCCGGAGGGTGCGTGTCATCCTCCTGTGCTGCACGGCCCACGGTGTTGGTTGGGGCTTTGGCCGGGGCACCCCGTGTGGGAACTACACAGACTCTGGTGACTGCCTCCTGTGCCCAGCCCGGCCCTGACATGTGGCCCTGGCACCCCCCCCCGCCCATGGGCTTCGTCATCTGTCCTGCGGCCTCGGGTTGTTGCCGGCGGGATAATTAGATTCTAGAAAAGTCCTCCAGGCACACTCCACTCCAGACTTATTCTGCTGACTGTTAAACATCAGTGGAGGTTTTTCCAAAACATTTGGAAGAATCCACAGTTATTAGGAGTACAGGGGCCCTTTCTTCTGATGAAGAGCAGTCCGGGGGCGTTCGTGTTGCTCTGAGGCCACTGCTCACTCCCCACCTACCCGGAGCTGTGGGTGGACCCGGCTGGGAGGCCCTGGTACGCTGTCTGCCCTCTGCCTTCCCCTTAATGTTTAGAACATCATTGCTGTGCGCTGTGTTGTCAGTCTGTTTCCCACGTCCCGTGCACGTCACAGGCACTCAGATGTTCCACATGTGGTGTGACAGGAGGAAGGTAAAATTCCCCGCCACCTGGAGCACGTGCGCCCGTGTTGCCAGCCGCCTTTCCCTGCAGGCAGCTAGCAGCCCATTTATACCTAAATACTTGTCTGATGCTAGCGGTGATTATGTTGGAAAGATCACACAGCCAGTGGCTGTGCAGTATCCATATCATCAGCTGCAAGCCAAATGGTACCAAGCACAGCACCCCAGACAGCCCTGCCGGCCACTCAGACCCCAGGCCCACCTGTGGCTGAGCGATGCGGTGTCCTTCAGGCCCACAAGTCCTCAGTAGCACACCTGGGCCCGGGCTCTGGTGGGAGTCCATCTGTTAGTGCTTCCTGTGTGAGCTGCCTCTTCAGGACCCCCGGCTGGTTCAGGGAATGTCCTGGTCCGGAGGCCTGGACACCTGCCCAGGAACAGAGGGAACCCAGTCTGGAGTCTGCTGCGTGCCCCAGCTCCCCTCCTGTTCCCAGTAAATCCCCCCTTTGTCAGTAGCTCTGAGCACAGATGGCCGTTTGGGCAGCCTGGCCACAGGGAGGGGTGGGCGTGGAGGCCTGGCCCCCTCCTCTTCCACCCTGGCTCCCTTCTCTGGGACCCGCTCTGTCTCATGGTTCCCTGGCCACTGCTTCACGAGGCTACAGGCTCGCCCCCTGCTCTCCTCTGATCCAGCTTGTCCTCTGCGCTTCCTGCTTCGGCACAGCGCGGCCGGCATGGGTTGCAGTTCCAAGTTATAAACCCGCAGAGCGGGTCGGTTCACGGAGACGCTGGAGTGGGATTGTTCCCGGGTCTAAGCTTGTACTGCCCACTGCACGACCGGCCAACATTGAGAGGCGAGCTGTTGGGACAGGGAATAACGACTTTATTCCCAAATCCAGCAGACCAAGAGGATGGTGGGCTTGTGCCCCCAAAGAACCATCTTGCCTGACTTAAAGTTCAGGCTCCTTTTTTTTTTTTTTTTTTTTTGCGGTACGCGGGCCTCTCACTGTTGTGGCCTCTCCCGTTGCGGAGCACAGGCTCCGGACGCGCAGG